TGTCTCAGTGGACTTCACAGTTTGTACAGAATATCAGTATGACAATACGACACCCTCTGTCCTTGGACCCTCACACCATCTTACTTAATGATTTTAAAGTGTGTTATATTTCATTTGTTTCTATGGGAAACACTTTGTTTTGGTAAGTTCCCTATAAATAAAGCAAGTTATTATTATCATAGTTTTTTATAGTAGAAAAACAAGTAGACATCACCAGAACATTCCCCAGTTGGTTCCTTGCATAAAGACACTTTTTTTTTAATCCAAAATTAACGTTTTTTAACTTGTGATTTTTAAAATGATTTGTATCACTCCATAAATCTGAAAATACTGTCACAGCCATTTAAGAAACTAACACATTTTGCCCTTTTTGAAAATAAAACATTTAGATTTGTGGCTGATAGTGTGAGGAAAAACGAATTTCTGATAAAATATCCTTTGTTTGTCCTTATGTATTGAACATTTCCATCCATTTTGCAAAACACAACAGGGGAACAGGATACCAAAAATGAAAACATACTACAATTTAAATAACCAAATGGATTACTTAGTTACAGGCTATTACTTACTGTTTTCTGAGATAAAATGCTTAAATATGGAAATTAGGTCTTATCTACGGATAACTTTAGGTACATCTAGGACATAAAGTAAAATAAATACAAAAAATACACAGGAGAAAATATATTTTTCTTCAAAATCACTTTTATTCCACAATTTATTTGATCAGGTCTTAAGGCACCCTGAAGAGATGTTACAAGATGGTCTTTCAAATGAGGGTTCCTTTTAAGACTGTGTAAACATAGCTTTGAATAAGATAATTTCCTGTAAATCTTTGCTTAAATTATTTCTTTACAGTGCACAGACATTGTGTTTTGTGACAAAAATACAGTGTGAAGTAAATATGGTAGATAGTGTGTGTGTATATATATATACATTGAAGAGTAATAGATTGGCAGACAATCAGATCAACAGGCTGAAGAAACTGACGAACAATCGTTGAGACCCAGATAGATATACAGTACATAGTTACAGTTTTTATTTTGCGACTTTTTCTAGTTTTTTTTACACTGTACTCTCTCGGTGTGTGTGTTGCCTCAGCCACCGTCACTGCGCAGCACCCGGCGAAGGTGGAGACAGCTTCTCCCGGAGGGCCCGCCCACATGTTGGCTATTGCAGTGGAGTAAACAGGAAGACAGGCAGACGGGCAGACAGACAGACAGACAGACAGACAAACAGACAGACATGCAGAAAGACGGACAGACAGCACAAGAAGGGGTCGCGGCCACGCAGGCCTCGACACGAAGAACTATCTATAATTCCCTAAATATGATAAGGATCACAATGTATTTATATGTAGAAAGGGACTTTGTAATTGGCATTTCATATACAGGGATACAGTGGCTATACTTGATTATCAAGGTACGTTTCCTATGACGTCTTTGTGATGCGATGAAGTGATGTTCTACTTTCTCAATTACACTATACAGAAAGGTACGAATCTTCCAGCGACAATGCGCTCATTCATACAGATTGGAATGAGGTATGAGCAGAAAAAACAAAACTAAAAAAGTTGTATCAGCAATTACACAACAGCTCCATGTAGCTTAGTTGAAATGGCTATACGGTTCAAAATCACATCAATACTAAAAATTAAAACATATTAAAAGGGGTGAGGAATGAGCAGTGCAACAGGTGAATGAGATGATGGGGTCAGGAAGCAGAGCCTGTGTCTGACCTTTGGGGAGATCGTGAAGGAAAGAAGGGTCAGAATGTCAGCAAAGCGACATTCAATATCTGCATCTAACCTATCTACAACAAACTGTTGGGCCACGTCCCAAAAATGCAGTTTTTGTGACGTTTTTGACACGTTTTTGTTATCTTTATTTTTCAAATCCTGGTCAGCCTCTGCGTGGGTTTCTCGTCCTTTTACTCCACCTACGCCTCCACCTTGATCCGGAAGGTGACACGGCCCAGGAACTTATCCCTCTCGTCGTTGTTACGGAGGTCGGAGCCCTCCACCTTGCACTCAATCGCCAGTTCCTTGTTGTAGTCCTCTTTGGTGAGCAGCAGCTTCACGGCCACCAGGGGCTGAACGTAGGTCTCCTGCGTGAGGAAAGAGACAGTCTGTCACTGAGGTAGTGCGGTAATCAGGGCCGGTTCTAACCAATTTGCTGCCCTAGGCCAGATTTTTAGCTGTTGTTGTTCATTCATATCTTATTTTACCTCTCCAGTTTTAAACGATATTTTTGGTTTACTGTCCTATAGTATATTGGAATGATTTCAAACAAACCTGTTTATCCCAATAATTATAAAGGCGTGCCTTGGAAATATTTGTTTACATAAATTGTGATCAAAACATTTGAGACCCAATGAGATAACTTAGACTAAAGTTAACTATCTAAACAGAGTCCTTTAACTCACTGAGCCTCTCAGTCTGACAGGAGATCTCTCCTCCACCTTGTTGTAGAAACATCTCCTTATATCCGTTAGCGCAGCAAGCACCAGATGCTAGTAATAACAACAAGCCAAGCCCCGGTACCGGTGCGCCCTCTCTCTACCTCGCTCGCTCGCTTGGATGCTCGCTTGCACTTTGGCTGTGAGCTGCGGGTGCCTGATAAGGCATCACTTACAGCGCCCATCGTACAGGGCAAATGAAAAGTGTAACCGGGGTGAAAAGGGTGTTACATTTACTTAATTATGAATGTTGTTACAACAAGGACGAAAATTAGGATGAGCACCAACGGTCAAAATAATTGTTTCCCTCCCAGAGCTGCCAGCGCAGCGCCCCCCCCCAGATCTGGCAACCTAGGCGATCGCACTGGAACACACCGCAAAGACTTCAGCCGACGGCCAAGTTGCACGTACGAACTGCGCATGTGTGAGTGGCAATAACTCTCCTTACCAGCAGGCGTTGGTAGTGTGTAAACAAACAACAAATAGCGTGTGCGTTCCATTTTCACTCTACAGCGAGAAGCTCATGGGGCTTTCCCAAACATGTGTCAAGAGCTGGAGTTAAATGAAATCTCAGATTTGCCTTCTTAATAGTTTGTTTGGGTCCCTCACTTCCGTTTTGCTTCTCATGCACTGATTCGCTAAGCTGAACAGCCAATCAGAGTGATTTCTTTGGCCGACGGCCTCCCGATTCAACATGTCGGCGGAAGGTGTCGGCACGGCCGAAAAGACACGACGGTGCAGTACACACCAATCTGAGTAGGGCGACACGACGCTCATCGACGGCCCGACATCTATCGAAGTTAAATCCATTTCTCACTTATTCTGACAATGTACTTAACCCAATAAAAGGACCCAATAAAAGGAGTTGTTAAATAATAGTGAAGTCACGTTGTAATAACAATAACTCTCTCTCGTTCAGATTAATATTGTCGTTTTTTTGTTTGTCTTCTTTTTCTGCTTTGCCAAACGCCACTGTGTCAAGTGTCCTATTTGGGTTGCCGTATGTAGTTGTCCAATATGGCGGACCATCTCGCACATACACAATGCGGATTGGGTAGGGATGCGGATTGGATAGTGACAGCCACTATGATAAATTGCTACAAAGTCCGCCACACTTCCTGGGGCTTGCTATCATGGATGTATAATAAGAACTGGATACAGCGTCGGAGGCGGGGTCTCGTTCTTTCCTATGAGAGCTGCTCATTGGCGCATGAGGACAAAATGGCCCAACTTTTGAGAGAGCGAAACGTCACAGATTACCCAGCATGCCTGGCCGTCAGAGCAGAAGAACCCGTATGTGCGCTCACAGAGCATGCGCCCCTTAAGCCCCGCCCCCCGAGATCCCACTCTCGGCTCACTAGAATGAATGGAGAGAGAAAATAAATCTAGATTTGGCTTTTGGTGCATTTTACAAATTTAAGGACCTAATGATTCTAATAAGGGCTATAAAATAGTTCATACTGGGTAGTTATTTAGTTTAAAAAAAAAAATCAGCTGATTTACAGACGTCTCTTTCCCAATGTTAGTCAATGGGAAAAGTCTTTCTGGGCCCAGTGACGTCACGGACTGATACAGAAATTGTAGTGCCACCGTTTGGACACAACAAATGTATTCCTCAGAGTCCAGAGCACTTCCTGGGGGCTTGCTTGCATAGACGCTATCCTTCAAAGATGGCCATGCTGCCCCATTATTCAATCCCATTCCCTATAAAACATCCATGTGTTAGTGGTGAGGATCTGACTGATGATGAATACTTACATGGGCTTTCTTTCCGTAGTAGGGGAAATACATCTTATCAATGCTGCCTTCACGGGGGAAATACTGCATTTGAATGGGTTCGTCTTTCTGCACAGAAGAACATGTGTTAGTCAATGTGAATGCGACATGAAATGCAATTTATCATGTCAAATTAAAAGCAAATTACATGTATTTCCAAGTTTACGAGACAAGACGTGGAAAAAAGCAAAAGCGATGGCCTTCTGTTTGTTAGTGAGGAGATTTAAATGAAACATGTTCTGCGTTAATCTGCAAAAATGGCATTTGCTGCGCCTTTTAGATTAAAATGACTTGAGAATGGCACTAGGATGGGTTTAGAGAGGCACCTGCGTAATGACGAAAATGTGTTGACTCCCCTGCTGGCCTTATCCTCATAATTTACATATTATCTTACCCTAAGGCCGTCAGTGACAGCATGCAGAAAGAAACGGACAAAAAACAGACAAAAATAAGGAAAACAAGAAAGATCAACAGAAAGAAAATATCGACATGGTCTTCTTAAATAAAAAGAATGAAAACAGAAATACACATATACAGTACAACATGTAGAGAAACATGTGGAGGAAGAAGTTTACTTTGACTGCGCAGGTGATGTAGGGATCCCCACGAGGCTTAAGTCCGATGATCTATGAAGCGTAACATGAGAGGTTGAGACAAAATTAGACATGATCGTTTATTCAGCAGGCGAGATGGAGATTAAAGCTGGGATGGAATAAACGGTTGGCAGAGAGATACAATTTGTATGTTTTTAAAGCAATTTTCTGTGATTTGTTTAGCGTTACCCTATTCAATTTAAGCAGGATGCACGGTTTCCCCTCAGAATATCCGAAGTTGGTGTCGGAGAGGCCGGAGCACAGACTCAGGAAGCCCCTCTTGAAGCGGCACGCTTTCTTCTCCATGTCCTCAGCGTCGTCCTGCAGGAAGTACTCTCCTCGAGTGCACTCCTCATTCTTCTCCTGCTCGGTATCATTATAACCTGAGAGAGAGGTGAGCGGACACATATTCAGGGAAAGGGAAAGAATGATTGGAAAAACCCTAACCCTGTTTTATTTTAAAGTGATTAATACATGTCAGAGCTTGAATACACTAAATAGCTAGGGAAAATAAACAGGTAATTCTACTCTGAAATGCATTCAATCCGAACCTTTATTTTTCCTTCTCATATCTCTGTGTTTATCATGACTTACCTAATTCACACCAATGTTATTACTGATGAAATTCAAGTTTTGGGACCATTTAGTAGTTGGATCAGTTTTAGAGGATTTGGTTAGTATCAGGTGTTTTTAGGCTTGTAAATTATTCTGAAATCTTTCCAATTCTACTAGATGTGTTGGTAATATATACTTTTAACTACTTTCTTTTGAGTGTCTAGGCTCCTATTCTAAAGATTTGGATAGCTCAACTGTTTGTAAATAAAATGAATTGTATTGAACCCGGGAGAAGTGCACTTACTCAGCAGGAAGGATTCCAGCTTCTGGACATACGGGGCGTATTTTAATGGTTCAGATTTATTGTAGATAATATCCAGTGAATTTGGTTGAATCGCCAACCCTGCAACATCAGAGTAAAATAAACATAGTCAGACACACTGGAGAAACAAACACCATCATCCGAGTCTCCGGTTACAGAAAGCTTTCTCTGATCGAAACAGACTCCACTGCTGACAGGTAGACACAAAGCAGCTGTAATGTAGCACATCCCTATGACAGCATCTCATTGGGGCGAGTATGAATATTGGATGTCTCGCAGAGCAATGCAGCCTGATAGCTAACAAGCCATCCTATTTGTTTGTTTGGAAACAGAGACCTGGGTAGGGAACGCGGTCTTGGTACTTGGGCACGTTGTCGTCCAGAGTCATCAGCATCACCCACATGGTCAGCGCGAACATCCCAGCCAGGAAGGCGTAGAACACCAGGTAGAAGAGCAGGATGAGGGCTGGAGGAAGTTGAGAGGAATGGAATAAAAAAGGAGACATAATGAGTGGAAGAGACAGAGGGTCATGTATAATTCACTTCAAGCTTTAACTCAAATCTGATTCACCTCATGAAGGAAACAGAGCACGATCCCTTTGAGAGGAACCATTTTGGATCAAGGTGGGGACATGCTATGATGCTAGGAGGCCTTTTTTCACTTAAAACGCACTTTATGTAGAGATGACGCTGCAGTGCTGGGAGCCTCATATATGAGCAGCATGCGGGGGGAGGAGAGGAGCCCCAGTTGTGGAAACATCTGACTCAAAATGGTTCACCGCCATCCAGCCTCGCACAGCACGGATGCCCTCTAACAGGGACAAACAGAAGAGAAAAAAAAGGATGGACCCCTCTGCTTCCTGCTGTACATCCCCCCTTCCTCTCATTCCTCTCCAACAGTATCCCACAATGCACCTGCCTGGTGCGTGAAAGGCAGAGAAAGAGGAGAGAGGGAGTCCCATTTGACCTTGACAGGCATACTAATGTGGGCGGCCATGCAACTGCAATGGAGCATCTCACTGCACAGCAGCACAGGGGCCCAGGCTGCCTGACGGCCTATCAGAGGGGGGGGGGGGGGGTGCTGTGTTACTACCTCACAGTGGAATCATTACATAAATCTATGGATACAGCCTTGCTGCTGCCCCTCACATGTGACAGCTGGGCTCCTCATCATCCAATCATGATGAATATTAATGTGAGGAAAATCTGATCACCTGTTATTTGTTGCGCACACACCTAAAAGCATCATACATCTTCACAGGCTTCTCCTCTACACCTTCATGCACGCCTGTGGTGGCTAATCCAACATCTCATTTGGCATCTCTTTTAAATTCATCCATGCACAGGAGGATAGAGCAGGTTATTTAGCCTATCCAAAACGCGTACATCTTTCATGTGATTGTGCAGAGGTTATTGTCCCGTGAATGTCACACTAATTGCGCTCTGTGCATCGGGAGCCTTACCCCAGCTGCTGGCCGTGCGACCCATAAACTCCCCGGTCCTCGGGTTGTAGAAGGAGTCCTTCCAGGTGGTCGCATTCTCCTGTTTCGCCACCACTTTATCCTCGGTGCTCGCCATGGTGGTGGGTTTGTGTTTTTGCTGTTTTGGTCCAAAGAATGCGCGGTGTTTCTCCACCAAAAAATGCAGAAAAAAGGGGGTAGCAGACGATGTGACGGGGAGAAGAAGCCGGCGAGGCGGCGGTGAGTGAGAGTGGGCGGTGTGGAGAGAGAGGAAGAGAGGAACAGAGAGAGAGAGGGGAGGAAAAATAAATCTGTGACGTGCACAGCTGATGCAGTGCGAGCAGATGGATGGAGATTGGCTAATCACGGGGAGACGCACGGTGCGCACCGTTACGCGCACATCTTATTAATAGAGCGCACGATATATTTTTTATCATTAATTATATTGTAATGGCGTTAAACAACGCCGCTTTATATTTACAGGGGTCCTGCAGCAAGAACGTTTAAAAAAAAATATGTTCGTGCCATTGTGGAAAAGATACTTCTAAATAATGTTATACACAAACCAGGATGTCATATAATCTATAATATCAGACTATGTCATGACGTATTCACCAATCCAGTATAGGCCTACATTTGAATATTGGTCACATTTTTATTAAATTTATTATTGAGATGATATGGATTCTATCGTTGAATATTATTGAAATAAAAGCTATGGTTGATATGATATGGGATCCTGGTTTATCACAGCTCGAATACGTAGTAATACTGCTGTCACCAAACCAAAAAACCAATCCTGGAGCTTATTTCCTCAGCAATGGATGCTAACCACTTCACAGAAAGCACAGGTTTACACACACACACACACACACACACACACACACACACACACACACACACACAGTACATAAATGCCAGTTATCAGCACATTTGCAGCCCATGAGGATGCTACTTGTGACCGACTGCTTGAGCTTAGATATTTGGAGCATTTGCCAACCCTTGTTGCTATGGCAATGGAGCACCACTGAACCTAGAATGTGTGAGCGAGAGAGAAAGTGAGAGAACATGACTGATCTGAAACAGATGTGTCACAGATAACAGAAGATGTATTCATTGTGAGTTAAGCAAGGTTAACATGTTTTATTCCCAGTATTTTAATATCAGTGATGCAAACACAGGTATGGTGAAAAAAGAGAGAACTATTCGAAGCAGGAAAAAAACAGCGTAATATACCATCTGACAAAGGCCTGTGCTATAATGCTTCAATTAACTGGCTATTCTTTATAATATACTCAGATCAATAGGAGACAGAGATGTTAAGTTATAAATCAAGGGTTTTTATTATTATTTACAGCAGGGGTGGGGAACCTTTTTCCTTTCAATTTTTACAACATCCTCCGAGGGCCGTACAAATTATTGAACTCAACCTCTGCTTAAAAAAACTAAAATCACAGCCAATTCATTTGGCCTTTCTTTCATGCTGTGCAAAGAAAAAGCAACCTCTTAATCCAGATATCTTACCATGACTCGCGCATGCATGCATGCATGTGTGGCATGACTACCAAAACAGAAAGATATGGACACAAGATGTGTGCAAATGTATCCAAGTGAACATGATTTAAGTGGGGGGACCTAACCTCCTCTAGGGGGGTCCGGAGGCATGCTCCCACGGGAAAAATATTTTTTTTAAATATTGAAGTTAAAAGCATCAATCTGGTGCACTTTGAGAGCAACATGAGGAGATCTATGGATATATCTCTCAACACCCATTTGAAACAGAACTGTAAGCAGATTTTTCTTTTTGGATATTTTACAAATCACTTATTTTCAACAACTTTTTTGTTACTGTCATATAGTATTTTATACCTGTTTTTCATTTAGTCTCTAATGTCTCATTAATAATTATAATGATCATATCAAGGTGTGCCTTAACCTCACTGAGCTGAGCTTATTTGAGCCTCTCAGGAGAGAGCTCTCTTCCACCTGGTTGTAGAAAAGCTCTTTAAATTCGTTAGCATAGCTAGCTAACCAGATGCTAATAACAACAGATCGCCACTGTGCTTACAACTAAAGACACAGCCACGCAAACACTGCAGCATGTGTACAGCTCCTTATGGGTACTACTGCAATATTTGAAGAGCTGGAGCGGCGTTCCGGTGCTCTCCGTAAGCACTCTAGTCTAGTCTACACTCCTTTCAGACGAGACATAACCACGTGAAGACACGTTACGCTCGTGTTGTGTTCAAGGAACCTGTCCTTGGCCAGGAAAAACAGGCACTCGCTTGTTTAATTATTTTGCGATCTACATTTCTTCTTCTTTTTTGAGGTGAGAAGTACTGACGGAGTGACGGACCCCCCCCCCCAAAACGAAAACTCTTCGGTTCTCCACGAATTACACAAGTCACCCAAAGCAGCGTTAAAAAAGCGGGAGGCGCCGAAAAGCGACTAATTTGCATCACTGTAATATGTAGTAAATGAGCTTCCCTGTGTCTCGTGCCAACGTCTGACATGAATGAGCTGAGTCTCAGTGGGGGGGGGGGGAGGCTGAGACACTGAAAGGAGAGGGAAAAAAGGGGACAAGAGCTTAACTTCCAACCCCGACACTCCAGCGAACAGACCCAGTGTGTAACAGCGAGTGAGGGGAGAGGAGGGGAGTTACATAATGACCCCTGATGCAGGGTTCAGCTCCTATGGGGGAGGGGGACTGGAGTAGTGGTCGCAGTGCATCCAGTTCCTGCTGTCAGATTGAATTTGTGGTAAGGCAGGGTCCACCACAACTCATACAATGCGGCACAATACCAGCACACACACACATTCCCATTTTCCTGATTAGTGTGAGAGCAGGCAGCACTGATTCATGGGCCAGTCCTGTCCGTCTCACTTACTCTGGCACATTTCTCTCTGAAGGCATCCCACTGCAAGCCAGGCCCACTGTTAACACACAAAAAGCAGTGAGAACGCTGAGATTGACAGCTAGAGTAGAGGAAGTGTTCAGGCTTGGGGAGTAACGGATTACATGTAACGAGATTACACTGAAAAAACGGAAACGTTAACTTTAATTAAATGCATTTTGTCAACAGATTTCACATAACTGTGTCAGGTTGGTTGAAAGCAATATTGTTAAATTAAAGTAATAAATATAAGGTTCAATTTATGACATAATACATTTAAATAAAGTCAACTCTTTTCAGTGTGTAACAAGATTAGGTAATCAGGATACAAAAAAAGGTAACTGTATTCGATTACAGTTACATTTCTTTTTTTTAAGTATTACTATTGCATTGAAATAAATAGAGATAACCAGCAGGATTAGTGTTACAATACATTTTGAATTGTATTTATGGATTATATTTCGGCTACTTTAATTCTTCTTTATTTTAAATGCATTTCTTTTTTTAATGCAGTAGGTGGACACCAGATTTGTAAAACAAAAATACAGTGTATGCTTTTGATTAATGTATTACGTTTAAACAATATTTGTAATCTATTACTGTTACTACATCTTTCATATGAAAGATCTTGGTTTCTTCTTTTCTAAGGTTACATTTTTACACACACTTAAGTAAAAAAACAAACACTTATTGTTATTCCTTTCTCTTGGTTTTATTTGCATTGCATTTAGTTACTGATTATATTTTTTGATGTGTAACTAGTTATCGTAACGGATTACATTTTTGAAATAACCCTCCCAGTGTTTGGGGGGG